AGTGTGCAAAATTTGGGTTCATATTTGCCAGAGACACCAGATTTTCAGGAGTTCAGCACTTGCAACTGAGGACAGGTTTCCAAAACAAAAGAAGGTGGTGCCAGTTTCTATGGAAGCACCAAAAAGGGCCATATTTTCCAAAGCGTTTCACAGTCAAGTTGCACCAGATATGCATGTAAACACATCCAGAATTGTATCTATACTTCCACAACAATGTGTAAAAAATGTATACTCGCAGGTATATATAAAGGCCTTTTTGTATGGAATTCTAGGCAGGAGCGTGCTTTTATGAAGGTAACACAAGGCTGACTTTGTATGGATGTGTGTGCCTGTACATCTGAGAGCTGAATTTTTGTATACCTTTCCAAAGCAGTATTGTACTTGGGTACATGAACACCAATTTGCATGTGTATTTTATGAATGACTGTGAATATGTAGTTGTGTATATGCATCTTCAGGTACGTGCCTGAGTATTCTTATTAATGCCCACCTGTGAACGTGTAGGGGTACATATGAGTGTGTGTATGCATTGTGAGTGTTTGCAGTGTGTGCACGTTTTTCGTAAAGATGAATTTATGGGTCTGTGGCATATAGTAGGAATATATGGTGACCTCTGAAATTCACTGATCCAAGTCTACATCTGCCATGAGTAGGGGTAGAAGAATCAATACCTCGATTTGAGAGACAATACAGGGGATTCTTTTGTCATCAGGCAGCAATCCAGGGAACAAAGACACAGCCCCACCATGCAATGCACAGACTACAGAATAGAAAGCCAACCCCATAGCCTTTCTCTTGTTTTGTTTTGCTTTCTCCTGCGGAGACATGTAAAAATGAAGCGTCCACTAATCAGGACTTTTAGGGGCTGTGTGGGACTGAGAGACCTTCTTTGATTCCTTTAACAAGAGGTGGAAGTGTATGTCTGATGTTGTACTGAGAAACCTCAGAGATAAATGATAATACAGAGGAACTCTGGAACAGGAAGGTGCCACTTCTTCGTACCCCTAAAACAATGTAAAAAGGCCCCAGTAAAGGAGAATTAGCACTGGAGCCCCTATTGATAGCCCTGACAGAAGGCTGGAAGCTATTTAATCACAGGGATCATAAGAAGGCTACTCTTAGGACAATGTTGTTGCTTGATTCCCCACTTCAGATGTGTGGGTTTGCCCACTTTGTGGGCACATTGAAATCTGTGGGCTGAGAGGAGCATGGTATCAACACCCACTGACCTTCACTCGTTGAGGATTCATCCAGTGCTGGATGTCTTGCAAGGTCTCGTTCGCACGCAGCAGGATGGGTTCATTGTGATCCAGGCATGAGGTGGTACACTCAGCTCCTTCACAGAACATGCAGAGGAGGACAAAAAAAAAAAGCCAGCAGTGCATTATTCTACCACCATGATTTCAGTTATCTGAATAACACCCAACTATCTCCCCTGCAAAGAGATTGCTACAGTCTGCTATAATGGAGCCCTTCAGACCCAACAAATATCACAGCCTCCTGGGATTTATATTGTCATAAGATAATGACCCCATTCCACAAGTGCTAATCTCAGGGGCTAAAGGGGCATAGGACTTGTTTCTTAATGTGACCAATAAATTAAGGTAATTAGCTATCACTGTGGCTACTAATCCAGGGACCAATGAGGGGTGCATTCATTTCCTGAAAGATAACGATGGAAAGCATTTCTTAACGCTGTTCCACTCCACAAGGTCTTTCTGGAGATGTGAAGCAATTAAGCAGAGGCCAACAAACTCATCTCAGTTATGACATGCACAAAATACCAATGGCCTCATCTTCCCAGATTAAAGAATCCTTCAACAATGTCCCTTGCATTGATATGGCAGGCTGGCTGTTACCTAAGCCTCATGTGTGACAAGTAAGCAGAGAGGTAATGACTGCTTTGTTCACATGTAGACTTGCATTTTCTCTGATTAACTGTCATATCCTGTGGGATTCCTGTCCTTTCCTTATTAAACCATCCTGCGGTACTCTGCAGTAATATCCCAGAGCCCTGTAGTGACTCAACCATAAGCCCTAGTGTGTTGGACCATTACCATTTTCCCTCTGGAAAATCACTTTTAAATGGCGCAGCTGCTGAAAACATGTCATTAGGATTTCCGAGCTCCAATCAGTGTGAGCGGGGGAATTAAACTGTGGACTGGTTTGGACGGCTAGACCTTTGGCTTAAAATTTACCACTGTCTGAATGGGCAAATTAGGTGTCAGTGGAGGCTGGTGGGTCACGCTGACCCTGGCTGAATATTACTTCTTCCCCAACTGCTTCCACCTTCATGCTTTCTTTCATGCGTAAGAGCGAGTTGGAATAACACAGAAGCCAGTTTGGTTAATTGTGGGGAGCTCACTAAGAAGGTTGGCTTTGTTTTACTTCCCTTGCGTGGGCAGTAGCTACCCAATGGACTTCACTGAATACTGCTTGTTAACACCAGACCCACTAAAAGTGAGGCAAAGAAGAAAGTCCTTTTCTGAGGGACACTGAGAAGGCTTCCAAAGTCTGGATATGATTCTGAGAGGCGCTGTGATGAGAAGCAAACAAAAAGTATGGGTTGTGCTTCCGTCTGTCGAGTATAACAGCCTACAGCAACTACTAAGCCTTAATGGAGAGACCGCTTTAGCTCAAGTTGCGGAGGTCTGTTCTATGATGTTGATGGTCCAAGATTCAAGCTATTCCAGGGGTCTTTTGATTGAGCTACCTCAATTCTCGCTATGCGCCAGTCCCCACCCTGCTCAGGGTTGGGAACCATAGACCTTACTTCTGAGCAAAGCTAATGCAGCTCCAATTAACAAATGTCTGGAAAACACAGCAAGATGAAGGGGTCAGGAAAGTGGCACCCATCATTGCACAAACAGTGGCTGAAAACCCTCCTCATTTCCAGCATAGAGAGGTTCCCCTTGGAACAGGAGATCAGTATTTCTTTTCTGAAATAAATGGCAGGTCCTGTTAGGTAACCAAAGGTCACGTCATCTCAAGGGCACCGTGGGTTGTCAAATTAAGAGTTGCTGCTGGCTGCTCACTGCTCACTCTCTTTCTGACTCCACTCTGCTGTTTACACTTAGGAAAAGGAGCGGGTCTGAATTGTTTTGATATATGATCTGTAATTGGCATCATTACAGAGCAGTGATCTCATCCAGGTCGTGTTCTTCTCCCCTGGGATGGAACTTAAGCTGGTTCCTGGTACCTTACAATGGCTGCAATATAATGAGGGCTCTGCACAAGAGGGAACGCTTTCTCTGAGTTCAAATGGACAGCAGCAGAGGAGAGGGGGGAGCTCCAGGGATGGGCTGGAGTGGAAGGGGCCCAGAGTGTCTTTCTAAGGCTGTGTTTACTATTGCTCACATTCAAATGCTACAATGTGGAGACCTCAGGGAAGAAAGGTGCAACTTGGCATGCAGAGCTGGGGACTCCCATGTGATGCAGCAATGCTGACCACCAGGAAAAGCAGTTCAAAACAACTCAGTCACTTATTGAGTAATTAGGCTCCATGGAAAGGAGAAGGACAGAGAAGAAGGACCCTATGAAGGTCTCCCAAAGACTCTACTGGCATTTGTGCTTGTCTTTCTGAGTGTGCTGCTTAACCCAGTGTCATCTCCTTTCATGGAGGCGGTCTGGCAGAATCATGCCCTTCCTGGAATCAACCACTGGTTTCCTGTCCCTGTGCATCTAGTTCAGTCTATTTATCCTCAGCTGTTCTGGCCATACTTACACCTCTGTCCTCACTCATCCCTGTCCCTTTAGCATATCCTGTGCCATACCCATTCCTTCTCCAACCCAGTCTACAAGACCCACTCTTTTAATATTTTCCACAGTTGCTGTGCCATGTGTACAGCCATACTGGTGGTAGCAATGGAGTCAGGGCATGGAGGTAGACAGAGGATAAGGGTTGTACAGTCACATCATCTGGATCTGCACTGAACAGGATTAGATGACATGACAGTCAAACACCTAAGAGCTGCTAGCACATCCACCTTTGTCCTCTCTAACAGAGCTGCACTACTGCCAGTTTAAGGGTGGGAGATTACCTGAAAAATACTATTGAAGATACAGCCTTCGTTTCCTTCTCCTTGACTTAACTCAGGTCTTTTTCATACCCCCTTATGTTTGCTGCACTCTCACATTGTCATTGCTGTTATATTTCAGTAGGTCCTAGGAGCACAACTGAGATTGGTACCCCATTGTGCTATGAGCTATTCTGTACAAACACATAGTAAGAGGCAAACCCATCTCTGAAGGCTGAATCACCTAAATTGACAGAGAGCAGGAGGGGAATCAGGGACAGAGAGAAATAAGGGACTTTCCCAAGACCACAGAGCAGTTCAGTGACCAGCCCAGTGATCCACTAGACCTGGTCCCACTAAACAGAGAGTTCATTTTCCTTTAAATTATGGCTAACCCCTGATCACTGTCCTACAACTTTGCTTCAGTACCTTCTGGCATCTTTTAAACAAAGAAATGCATAATGAGAATGCATTAAAAATAAAGAACTTACAAGATACAATGCAATTACCTGTGTGTGTAAATGCAGGTACTTGCACAAACAGATACAGATAAATCACATGATCTATCCCCCTCTGCCTCTCGCCTGTCTGTTCTTTCTACACACATATGCTTTATGTTTAGCGAAGAGGACAAATTCCACAGGACACATACTTTGCCTCCTTTTGCACCTCTAAGATGATAGGCAAACCTATAGATTTCTGGAAGTTGTAACAATTAATAATATGAGCAAATATGTATGTTTGTGCCTGTAGAAGTGACAGCAGTGGTTCTTGTGTGTTTGAGAATGAACAGAGCCACATGAATGAATTTAAATTTGTGCAGGAATATCTATGCATGTGTGAGTGGAAAGGCGTATGTGTAGGGGAGCATATGCATGTATGTGTGTATGTATATGGCTATGTGCCTGTACTCCTGCAAGCATACTTTTCAGTCTCTCAGTATGTACATGTGCATGGCCATGCACATAACTGCAAGAGAAAACACACAACACAGGCGTGTTTTCTTCATTTAAAACATCAGATTGCAATTGCTGCCTTTGCAGTTTGATCTCTGGCACTGTCCATTAAAGTAAAAGGACAACATGGGACATGGTAGAAGTGGGGATGCTGCAGAGGAAGCCAGCATATGTTAGCTGGTGTCTGGCATCTGAAAGCCTCACGTTCCCTGAAAATAATTCCCTGAAAATCCTCTAATTAGCTGCTTCTCACTCAGACAAATTGGTCCATAAGAGAAGGTGACCTCAAGGACTTTGCCTCCTTCCTCCCTCTCTCCCTCCCTCCCCGGTTCCCAAATGGCAAGCAGAACAGCTGCGGCCACGGCGTTAGCTCATATACCTATTCCGTAGCCATTAGCACACTTCAGCTTAAGATTACTGTTGAGCTGAGTGGGAAGAGAGCACTGGCCCTGCATCTCCCTGCAGAGGTGAAAGGAGCCGCTCCAGGTGCCATCCTTCCGGCAGTGAATCACGTTGTTGCCACGGCCCTGAAAATGAGACAAATAAAATGTAGTCAGCAAAATAATACAATAACCAGGATAAAGCTGGGAGCTGAAGTTCTCTTGAAGCTGGGTAAGCCTAGAATTTGGGCTTTCAGCCTAGAGAGTACGACAAAGGACAAAGAAAAGACATGCTGTACTTACACGTACACACACACTTTAAGAGTTTCCTATGTAATATGATGACTTTTAAAAGCTATTTGCAAGGTCTGTATCTCAAAACAGTTCCTCCCCTTCCCCCCACAAACCATTACAAAGGGACATTCACCCAATTTTCCCTGTTTGCTGATTTTGAGATGTGTGAGAGGAGTGCAAGCAGCCTTTCTTCCTCTTCCCACTTCCTAACCTACTTACATCATCCTCCTTTGGAAGGAGAGAGAGATCCCCAGGGCCCAGCTGAAGGAGAAACAAAAGCTGGACACTCCACTGGGGAGGCTTAGTTTAGGCTGAGGGCAATCTTTAGAGCTCTGCCATCCTGACCGAAAGCAAAGAAAGAGCCTGATACAGAGAAATAGAAAGAGGTGTAGAGAAAGAAATCATCCAGCGTGGAGGGTGAAGGAGGGGGATAGAATAGAAATGACATTTCTCTTGCACAAAGATCCTCAGTGAGATACTGAAGGACAATGTCCACAGGGAAATATCATGCCCTTTAGAAACAACAAAGTGGTGCACAAGGCTTCCTTTTGCCAAGCTATGCATGCGGCTCCCAGGGAGTCCTGCACGAGCTGTCTGTGGGATCAACAAACCTAGCTATTAGCTGGGGAGGCAGGAGACACTCAAAAGGAGGGTACTTTTTGGGCCTGGGGTTTCTAGCTTTCAGTGGATGCCGGAGTGTCTTGCACTTGGTATAGCGTGCGCTTGGCTCCCAGTCTGCTATGCAATGAGAGTTTCATGGAGTCCACGTACTCGTCACAAAGGGACTGAACCAGACAGTCTCTGTGAGAACTTTTGTGGGATCTATGTGCCTGACAAGGGGCTCAATGAGACCCAAAAACACAATGTTCAAGGGTGATACAGCTGGTCTTCTCTGTAGCTTGCTGGGTTGGATCCTTAGTTCATTTATTTGTCTGCCTGATGATGATGGCACCATTTGAATTTGGATTGGCTACAGCCATCACTGGCTCACAGCATAAAAACTCAAACTAATTGAAGACTGTCAGGTGAGGTACCACAACTTTACCTCCTTGCTTTGCTTTGCTGTTGCTTGGGTGTTATGAAACCAGAAGCCCCTAAGTGAGGGGACATGCTTCCAAAGAGCAAGAGGAAATTCTTGTGGTGATATAGAAAGAAAGGGATTTAAGTGGGGAACATCCTCTCCCCTCTCATTTCCCTAGTTTGATCTGTGAATGAATAATAAAAATGAGATGAGGAAAAAGACCCATTGGGTAACTTTGTCCACTCTCCTGACAATCTCAAACTTGGTACCTATGCTACTGTATAACATTTCCTAGAGGTGACAGCCCAGTCTGCATGCACTGTACAGTTTTCTTGCAAACTCTTACTTCTCTCTTTCATATGACCTTGCAATCTGAAGCTGTAAGGTGCGTATATGAAGCTGATCCCTGACACTCAACCAAATGCTTCAGGTTATTAGGTTCACTTCATCTTCTGGGGGCATACGTCCATTGCCAGAGGTAGCAAAAGAAACATCTACTCCTGACTGCTGCCAAAGGCAGGGTACTGGAGTAGGTGGGACTTTGGTTTGATCTAATACAGGGATTCTTATCTGATGCTTGCAGTGCAATTTTTACCAGGGCTAGAGGCATTAGTTTGGATCTGATTTTTCAGACAAAGGACCCAGAAAAGGAAGAACTTCAAAGCATAAGTGTATGTATACCTGCTTAAATAGTCACTGCACATTGGGGTTCAACTTATCTGACTACTTCCAAACACTGAGTATAAAATGCTTCTGGCCAGATTCTCAAATGGAGAATACCCCTTTGCCCAACTCAGATGGAAAATTCCTGCAGAGAAATCACCCACTCACTCCCAGACTCCGGTAGTTCTACTGAACTTAACTTTACCCCTACATTTCCCAACCCACGGTGGCATCCAGCGGATGTCAGGGAAGGACACCTGCATTATTCTAAGCTCTCACTGGCATGGAATCCATTAAGGATCCCAAATCAGCAGTGCTCAACAGAAATCTAAGTGCCACGAGGCTTGGTGCTGTCTCTCAGAATCAGAGAGCTGTAAATGGCTTCTTGACAATGTCAACCCTCCCAATGCACCCAGATTTTTGAGCAGAAAAGAACCACATCTTATTATTCCTTTTTCTATAACCAGGTGGGAAGAAGATAATAATCAAAAGTTGCATGGGTATTGGGGATTTAGCATGCATAGCATATTGCCATAATTTGAAAAAAAATATGCACTTTGAAAGTAACTTTTAAGTGGGCCTGTAACTTGATTCATGTAGCTGGCTCTGCTTGTGTTATTATTGTCTGAAGTTCTCTGAGATCTCTGGATGTCCACTGTTATAATAATGTCCTGTCCATCGTTCCCTACCCTGCATAATCTCTTGTGAAAATCCCTGCTGTGCTCCTCTCTTGGATGCAGTGTGCATTATCACCTCATATTTCTGAGAGTGTCTTAGAGAGTTTTAATCCTTAAATAATTAACACCTCTTGGGTGGGTTAGTCTGGGTGAGGGGTCCTCTCCTTTTTATAATGTGTTTTCTGTGGTATTTGGAGACACCTTTCTTTGGAAGTCCCTTTTTTTTCTAAACTGCGGCTTGCCTCTTTACCAGAGCTGCTTTCTGGGCTGACTGTTCACCACAATCTCTCTTTAAAATGAATAGTGTCATGCCAAAGTGCACCAAGATGCTTCTCACTTTACCACATGCGGTCTCTGTATCTCAGCTAACCCTTAGTTCTTTGCTTGCTTCTTTTTACACTTCATTGACCTCTCAAAAATGCACAAAACATATAGCATCCTTCCAGGCTCATTGCCATGCATGACTGTTGCTGCACTTGCACTAGCCTCATCATGACTTACAGGCCCCATGTCACCACTATGTTCCCTCTTCTACCGCACAGGCCGCATAACTCTACCTGACCTCATAGCACCACACGAGTCCTGCTGTGCCACCACCATGCTCCTATTTCATCCCACAGGCCTCTTAGCAGTACACCGACTTTGTTGCACCACTCCTTCCTTCCTCCACCCCCCAATCCTTTACTATGTAGCACATCTGACCCTCACTGAATTTCACTGGCCTCATAATGCCAAGCAGGCCTTTTAATCTCACACAAGCTGGACAACCCCAGCCAGCTTTCTCGGCACACTTCCAGCAGACTTCAAACCGAAGGTCTGCTGTACCTCATGGTCCAGTGTCCTTCCTACCAAGAAGACAGGTCAAACGTAGGAGAAGTAAGGATGGAAAGAAATATTCTCTACTGCCAGTTTAAATATGTAAAGCCCAACTCCTCTCTCTTCCTACCTCTTGCATACCTACCTCTCTTCCTATCTCTTGGAGCAGGTATCAGTCCTTTCTCAGCATGCCCTCAGAAACTGCAATTATATTAAGACTATTTTGGCAGCGTGTTCTCTGCTTTTTGCACTAAGGACAATAGCAGGAGCGTTCAAATCCCCCCACCTTCTCTTACCAGCTTTTTTTTTTTTTTAAGCAGAGGCACTTTGGGGAGAAGTTGTTTACCTTTCAAAAGCAAATTACCTTTTGCTTAGAAAAAACCCTAACATTTCAAACTGAGCTTTAATCTCTGGAGCACATCAGCATAGCTCCATGGAAGGATTTGGCCCCGATTGTTTAATGACAGGTCTTTGGCCAAAGAAACCCAAAAGGTTCAGTGAATTGTATGTATGGATGTAACTGCCAAAATCCATATAAACAACTATATGAAGTATATGCCTATATAGAAAAGGGGAAAGAAAGCCTGAGGTTAAACTAAAGGTCTTGTAATGAGCAAAACAGGTGATAAGATTCGCTGCTCATTCATTCTTAGTAACTGCTTCCCATCTCCCTCCTGCAGCAGTAAAATACTAGATGATGTATTAACTAATGTCTATCTAGATTATAAGGCCCTCAGGCCCTCTTTTTGTCTGGAAAGCACCTAGGTGCATGGTGTTACCACTCAATGATTACAATTACCATTGTAATAAAATTATATTTCCACGTGCATTAAGTTTTCTCTTTTACCTTTTTTATGCATACTCTCTCTCTTATACACATACACACACACACACACACACACACATGCACACACTCAGCAGCTTCAGGCCTGGCAAGTATTTCAAATACATTAATGAAAGGCTCAGATTGGCTAAAACGTTACTCAAATCACTGCGTGGTTCACCTGTCAGAAAATGAAAGGGTTGACTGAGACAATACCTCTCAGAAAAAGGAATATCGAGTGACATTGATTGTCCATTTTCCCACATAAAAGGAGGACACAGACTCTCACATAACCCTCAGCCAACCATTAAGAGGTCTTATAGGAGAAATGGAGTGGCCATTCATGCTGAAGTGCAACAGTTTGTATTTTAGGGACATAACTGATAAGATATTAAATATCCTCATGCCCTGCAAAAGAACCTGGTAGTTGTGGCATTTAACTGCTTTCCAGAGTGGCCCCACAAAGGTTCAGTCACTGAAAGAGCAGGGCCTTATGCTAAAGATTAACCAGAAACCAGTGCCTGGTGTCTTTGGTTATTTGGACAAAAAAAAAGACTCACTGATTGATTGTCATCATCTTCACATTTGATCCGGCACTCACTGTTGAACTGGAAGCCATTGGTGCACTGGTAAAGTCCATGAAACTTGGAAGGTGGAGGCTCACAGGTCACAGGCACACATGCTCCAGCTACCCAGCTGCCATCTTGCGTGCACTGGATCTTAAAAGCCCTCCTTTCAGGCAGAAACAAACCAGAATATTTAGTGAACAGCTAAATCAGCTACAGCTCTACAATATCTCAGCGTTTTTAACAGGCTGCTAGAGATGGATGTGCTTAGGCTTTTAAGGATCAGGGAGCAAGTTGTGAATTTGCGTCATGAGGTCCAAGAGTGAAAATAATTATTATTTGCAAAGCTAATGTTCGGTCTGTTAGCCCAAACCCCTCTTCTGCCTTTGACACATCTCCCAAGAACACTGCTTCCCGAGCTTGTGGGCTGTGGTTAGTTTGAAGTGGGTGGCAGAGAGTCAGAAATGTATGATGGCAGCAACCCTTTCCCACAGAGTTTCAAAGGGGACTCCCCAGGTTGCATATCAAAGGGGTGTTTCTAACGTAGCAAAAACTGGTTTAGAAGTGTCGGGTGAGATTTTCAAAGAGCCCAAGGGATTTAGGTGTCAAAATCCCACTGAAGTTTAACAGGGATCAGGTATCTAAAGCCTTTAAATTTCCATGCAACTCACAGTTGTTACCCACTCTTTTGGGGAGATTTATGGAATGGAAAACTTGCATTACCTTTTGCTAAGAGGAGGTTTCCTTTCATTCCTATGGGATTCTTTGCAAATCTTAGCCCATCCAAAGACTAGTTTTAATCTCTACATGAATTGGTGGGTTTTCCTCTGCACTTCTGTAATCCTGTATCTTTAGTAGTCCTTCTACAACTCTATACCACTGAAAACATTTCTATAACTAGATTTGTCTCAATTATGGGATGTTTTTGGACAGGGACAACCCTGCCTTGAGCAGGGCACTGTATTATTGAAAGAACCTTGAGGTCTCTTACGAGTCCTACTTTTTCTATGACTATGATTTTATGATTTACTGCAGATACATTATCCAGTTTATTTAATCAACTTTTCTGTTGGTCAAGGAACATTATAATTTGCCAATTTAGTCACTGGTTTTAACTGTTTGACAAATAGTTTATGTGGATATGAATTGCCAGTGAATCATTTGCTTTTTGGAGTCACTATTTGGTACTCACTAGTCACCTGGGGCATTTTTACACGTGCTCCAGTGCATTCTAATTAGAACGTGTTGGGCAGACTCAATTAATCAAGCCTGCTGGAGCATTATAATCAGAATGACCCAGTGTGCTGCAGCATCTCGTGTATTCAGCATCCTTCATTTCAAAATGCCAGTGGGGCACGTTAACTCTGGCTCATTCAATGAGCTTGAGTTAACGTGCTCCCGCTGCCATTTTGAAATGCAGGGTGCTGAATACATGAGACACTGTGGGTGTTATAATTAGAACGGTTCCCGAGAGCTATGCTAATTCAAATGCTCGCCCCTACCCCAGAGCAGGTGTATAGGTGCCCAGTGTGTTTTAACCACCTAAACCATATGGCATTGTTTCTGCTCTCTCACTGGACAACTGAAGGTTTTGTGTTTTGGTTTTGTTTTTTAATAGGCGGATAACTATTAGTGAAAGGTGAAGCATAAATCGTGAATACTAAATAATTAATCATCTTTTTGGAGTATGGATACTTTTGTTCAGATATGAATATGAAGGTTTGTGTAAAAAACAGGCCTTCTCTAAACCTTTATGTGAACAAAGCACGTTCACCTGCCAGGTCAGCAATAATGAATAAAAGGAGGTATGAACAGGATTTGGAATCTGAGTTGATGCTTGAAAACATTGTTCTTTCCATGTATAAATAACGCTGTCTACACCCCATGTGATCCTATCTTTAATCTCTTAATCATAGGATAGCGCTATAATTCTTTACCCTCATGAGACCTTCTATAATTCTTTGCTGTTCACAATAATTGTCAGCATGCATCAAGTATGTCTACAAGTCTGGGATGCTCTACAATAGGGGTGCTCAACCCCTGGCCAGTGGGACATATTAGCCTGAGGAGCCATGTCATCCAGCCCAAAAGGGTTCCTCATGGGTCCGGAAATGTGGAGGTAAGGATGCAGTAACAGCATTAAAATTGATGCTCTTCTGCTGCCAAATTTCTTGACCCATGGGGAGCCCCACAGGCTGGATAACATGCACTGTATGCTAGATCACTCCAGTTTGTGGCTGGATTTGTGCATGTGAGATCGAGTTATACATGTGTTGCTGGATCTGAGCACATGGGGTTGCACCCATGGACCAATCTCAAGAAATATATGACCCACAGACTGACCTTGCACCATTTACCTGGCTCAGGAGGCCACAAGGTTGGGCACCACTGCTCTACAAAAGTTTTTGGCCTTTCAAGCAATCCAAGAGCACAGTGACAGAGCAGTTAAGGTTCTTACTTGGGCAACAGAGATGTGAATTCAAGCCTGGACTAGTGCCAAAGACTGCTTTCTACTGCTCCAGCTGTAAATGGGTACCTGGCCATTTTGGGCTGGGGAATCAAAGGCAGAAAGACCTGATTCTAGTCTTCTTACTCCCTTGTGTGCCACTGGCTAGAGAAACTGATATGCTTTAACATAGTGATTCTCAACCAGAGTGCTGTGGCACCCTGAAGTGCCTTGAAATCCTTTCAAGGGTGCCACACACTGTTAGCACTGTTCGGTGTGCAAACACGATTCACAAGACAAACCGAGAGTTTTTTAAATAGGGATCCATACTGTTAAAAAACATTCTGACCTTCTGGGGTCTTTCTGAGTTCTTTGAAGCAGAAGAACTGTTCTATTATTTTTCTGTAGTCAAAAAAAAGGGAAAACTAAGAGCTCATATTTTCCAACGGATGCCTCAAGTCTATCACAGGGTACCTTTAATGTACTGAGGGGTGCCTTGAGTCTAAAGAGGTTGAGAACCATTGTTCTAACTATTCTAACCCAGTGGGCTCTGTACTTCAGCAGACCGTTGAACTCTTTTGACTTATACAAGTCATGCCTCATCCCCTCCTCTCCTGGGTCTCTTTTAAATCCATGACTTTCTGGAAAGGGCTGCAGGCTTGGTATTGCTGTTGCACTTACTTTCTTGCCTTCCTGGACAATCCAGGAACATGGTAGCCTGGTTTGCACTTGTACTTGCAAAAGGAGCCCACTTTGTGCTTATCGTCACGGCAGCGGGCAGTCTGAAGATCCGCATTGGGAACTACTGATGGAGCCCGACACATCAGCTCACAAAGGGCCTCGGGGAAAGACCACAGCCCATCTTCCATACAGGTCAAGTTGCTGTTGTTTCCTAGGGAGGATAAGATTGCAAATGATAATGAGAGTCCTGTTTTCTTTGGGAAGTTTAGTTGATCAGCATCTGAAAGCTTTGAAAAAAAAGGACCCATTCATTTCTGAAATGGCTTCATCGATTCCAATGGAGTTATGCCTGCTGTAGTTTCTATATCTTTGGTATTTTACACTGTATGCACAGAAACACTAAACTATACCTTTAAAAAATTACCACATCCAAAAGCCAATACTCAGCGAAAGACCTAATATTACATTAAAACAACAATCTCGACCTGCAGAGACAACACTGAACACTCCATTCAGACTGCCAGGTACATTTTACTCAACAGTCATCCTCCTCCTAGCTGATCAAGAAATAATATCGACTAACTCTAAAGCAAGTCCCATATAATCTCCATGATATAAAAGGATGACTAGGATTCAAAGAGAAGAATCCCCAGGGCTCTGTAAGATAAGCAGAGGAGTCTTCCTGGCTCCACACAAAGATAGATAGACCTTCTTTAAGCCATCATTGGCTTTTTCTCTTCCCTTCCCTTCCCAATTTCAACTAATTGCTAAGGTATTGCTGTGAAAAATCTCTTGCTCCTCTGATCTGACTCTTGCCCCAGCTTGCTCCTTTGGTCTGACTCATGCTGCAGTTCTGCAGTCCAGTACTGGTGATATACTTGCTGCTGCAAAGTGATGAGCTGTGACATTACACACAGTGGCTCCCCATGATTGAATTAGGAATGAGTCATTCAACTTTCATCCTCAAGAAGCTCAGTAGCAATGCCTGTTTGTCATCATCTATGGCTATACACCAAATGATACCTACACCATATTACTAGCTACACTCCAAAAGTGCAGGAAGACCAGAGCTGTGAACTCTTCAGCCTGATCCACAAGTGATGTGGCCAGATCCTCAAGTAGTTGACCAGTCAAGGACCCGGTCACTTTTTCCTGGCATTCTGCAATGTTTGGTGTGAAACACTTCAACTTTTTATTTGGGATCATTTTGCCCCTCTCAGATTTCTATTTTCACTTTTGCAACATTTCTCCCCTGAGACATTTTCCATGCGCTTTCACTGAGAAGCAACTTTCCTCTTGGAGACTGCCTCATGCTGGACTGTTTTCAAAACAGGGAAATTCATGAGCAGTTTGCTTTTTCACTGTGAGCGACCTGGCTGTAGTCACACAGTTAAGGTTGAGTTGAATTTTACACTTAAAATGGGGATTCAACCACTTTGTCCAATACAAAGAGTGTAGTATATCCTCCCACAATATTAAAGGTATTTCATATGCCTCATCTGTAATTCACAACTAGCACTTGTAGAAGAGGTGATGCTGTACATACACAAGACCTTTACATGTGTAGTGTGCTTAAATAGATAGCAGCACTAGGGATGAGTCCAGAGCTAATGGGTGACAAGCTAACAAAACTTTGGCACTTTTTCAAGTTAACGGTGCCTCCTCACTGTGTTACCAGATCTCATCTGGGACTGTAGGCACCAGTGAGAAGCGTAACAAATGCAGAGAGACTCTGATGGGAACTCTGGAATGGAAGCAGAAGTAAACCAGGATGGGAACTCACCCAGAAAAGAAAAACAGTAGTGGGAGGAAAGAAGGGAGCAGAATATATGCCTGACTAAAGCAGTTAGAAGACCAAGGTGGGGAAGACAGAGGAGAAAGGTCAGGGTAGATGGGCTGAGGAAGGAGCATAGCAGTGAGAGGGAAGAAGGTCTATCTGGGAAGTGTGTGGGTGCCATTGGGAGATGGAAGCTCAAGTCTTCAGCTTTCGAAATAAGCAGAAGCAGCATAAAGGTGAGACAGACATTGGAAATCGAGGAGACATGGGAAGGAGGAAGACAGAGCAAGGAAACATGCTGCTTTGGTACTGGCAGAGTTCCAGGGGCCAGAGCCTCAGCTGTGCCAGAGAGACTCAATCTGTGCTTCCAATCAACTATGGGATGCTCAAAAGCCCAGGGGGCCACTCTGTCCATTGCATCATCCTGTGAAACTCTGGGAAGACAGGGGCCAAAATCCTGTGATCTGAATGCACTGAACAGATGCACTGCTCTGGCTGGAATTAATCCAATGGAGCACAACTTCCTCCTCCAAGCCTGAAAGTGTTTGGAGGGAGAATCCCAGTTCCTTGATTAATAATAAGCAAGGTTGCATTTTGTGCTTGGTGAGGACAAGTGAGAAAAAGGAGAAGGAACTGAGTTCATCCGCTGGATGTCTGCCATTAAGACTCAACCTTTCTTACAGAGCTGATGGTGGGATGCCTGGAAATAAACGCTGAAACACACACAAACTTTCTAAGGGTATTCTGGGTTGGCCAGATCCTGAAGAGATGCTGAGCATTTGTAACTCCTGCTGACTTCAAAGGGAACTGCTGATGCTCAGCACCTTTTAGGATTTGGCCATCTAGTAATAGTAGAACATTGTGGAATTTCCTTATGTAGCTCCCTTAATAACTGAGAGGCCTCTGTCCCGTCTGTGTGCCCAAGAGGATTTCCTTCTACTCTCTTATTCCTGAACTACTTTCTGCAAAATTTCTGGTTGTATAGGGTGTGTGAACCTGATGAACATTTTTGAGAATAATTCAGAAGTCACTAATAATAAGCAGTTGCCAGCAGCTTACTTTCTTTCAAGTTGGATTCTGATGCTCTTTTCGACGCTGAAGTTATTGGCAGACAAATGAGTTAGCACAAGGCAAAAGGGACGGGGTTTACCCTGTGTCAACAGCTCTGCAATAACTGCCTGTGTGCCTGCTCTTACCAAATGGTAGAAAAAAGTGAAAGTGTAGTGGTTAGGTCTCTTTTTTCATTGAAGATTTATTTCTCACCTACTGTGGAGAAAGAGCACACACTTGGGCAGGTATTGGGAGCAGATGATGGGCAGTAAAACCTTGCTCCATTTTACTTTGAGGCATTGAATTTGTTTGCCCATCGTATGAGTAGCACTTTACTGGCCTAGCAAAAAGTAGTAGGATCCCTTGTGAATTAGGAGTTATTCAATGCAACTAGATTAATAAGACTCATATCTATAATATAGCTAAGCATTACAGTGTTCTCCCAAGTGCAGATGCAATAGCTCTCTCAAGGTACAGCATACTGAACAGCTGCCAGCCCTTGGGATAAAACTTTCACAGGAGCCTAAATCTTAATTTCAAAAGACACTTAGGTACCCAAGTCCAATGGTATTTCAATTCTAAGTTTCTTAGACACTTTGGAAAGTTCTCCTCTATGTCCCTAAATTTAACAAACATTTCAGTAAAGATAAAGACCTTTCCATTTTACTGATGGCTTTAAATTCCCATAGAACTGGCTTGACTTTTTTTCCTGCAGCTTTTAAAAATATTGATTTTATGGATGCAATTTTTGCTGCAATTATTATTTTCAACTTGTCATCATCAAGGAAGTGCCTAAGTAAAACCAACATGATGAAGAGGAAGAGCAGAGGAACTTCTAATTTAAATGAAATCATATAAGCCACTGTTTGCTCTCCTTGTTTGTCATACTTAAAATTACATGGAATGATAATATTAATAGGAATCACCCATGTTTCCCATGGAGCTAAAACACCCTTTGTACCTTTCAGCAGAGCAGGAGGTCGGCAAGTGAAGGAGCACTTCTTGCCAAAAGTGGTGCCCTCACTGCAGTTGAATGTGGCTGGGTAGACGTGGTATTGATCAGGGATACCACAATCCACAGGGTCACAGGTCACCTGTTTGTTCCACTTTCCATCCACGCAAGTCATGGTGATGCTGGACCCCAACTGAAAGAGACACAAAGGCAAAGGCACAACAGTCAGCAAGGAAAAGATCAAAACTAATAACAATGTAATAACGCCCAGTGGGCACTAACCATCACCTGCAGCCATGCCACTGCTCATGTCTATTATCTGCCATGTCTCATAAGCCAAGAAGAACTGGGCCTGATCATCATCATTTGAAATGGAGGTTTCTAAAGAGCATCCAGGTGTTGCAAGAAGTGGTGTAGGTGAGTCTATGAGGGATATTTTCCCTTGAGTTACCACCAAACCTGCATCTTTAGCCTGATAAAGACATGCTATTGCTGGTAATGGGGCACTGTAGGGGAGACCTAATGACCCAAGGTTGTGAAAGACTGTTGTACTTTGTTTAGTAGTAGGATGTTAATCCCTGTTTACTGGAAGAATTTCAATGGGATTGGCACTCTTCTTTACTTGTATACCTAAAATGTGACTATATGTAGTGTTAAGCAAGCTCTGCATTTTACCCCAAAGACGGCTCCATTGTTCGAGTAGATGCATATCAATCTGTAAGCCATTCTTACACAAATGGTATCACATATATATAAGTTACTAGTACTTCTAAAACCAGCTATAGCAAAACAAAAATCCATGGGCTTGGTTTTCCTTTACCCTGTCCTTTGTCTTTCTATTTACACTGCAGATGTGGTATGAAATGTTGCAAAATCAGAGAAGCAGATCAACATGTTCTCTGCAAGGATGACAATGACTAACACGAAGTACAGGGCAGCAGGGAATCTGGATTCATATCTGCTTGGTCTGCTAAGGAGAATGGTGACTGTGACTCTCCCAGCTTCTCTGCAGCTGTTATTATTGCAGGGGATTGTGAATGAGAGAGAAAATCTGGATCTAGAGAGCCAACAATTATGCTCATGGTAGCATCATGCCTTTGAAGTAACTGAAGGGAATGTGTAAGCACTAGCTCTGAGGGAACCTCTTGCCTGTATCACAATGGCAGGATAAGCACAGAAGTTGTTGTAAAGACTGACAAAAGAGTATAGGCTTTAATGAGTTGGGGGTGACTCCAGGCCCAGCCTCTCCCAGCAGGTGTCATTTTAGGGACTGGTGTAGGAGCAGATGCTAGTAGAGATGCTCCTGGTTACTCTACGATTCTTTTCATCCACTGATAGTTGCTGTTACTGTTTCTTTGTATTCTGCAAGTGCCTAGCATCTCTAAATGAAACCAGGGTGTCATTGTGCTGGTAACTAAACATGCACATGGAAAGAACAGTTTCCCCCCCGTCTTGAACAGTTTCCACTCTAAACAGAGAAATGTAGTATCCTTATCCCTATTTTTTTAGACGTGGCAGAGGGAGGCCACACGTGATGAAGGACATGCAGAGAGCCTGCAGCAGAGCTCAAAACTGAGTGCAGTTCTCCAAAGGGCCAGCCTAGCATCAGAACCACATGGCCATCCTACACTGGTTTTGAGGAGTGACCTCCAAATGTTTATAAACCCTAAAGAACTGAGCAGAAGGAAAGAGGAGCCACCTTTCCAAAGCTAGGGCTATGCACTTTCGAAGGGACCACAGTACAAATTGATGTAAGTGAAAAAAAAAAAGGGCACATCCAAATGTTAATTAAAAAAGGAGTATGGTTAGAAATAGGTCTGATAGTAATGGGAGACTAAAGGGGGAGGAGGGGAGAGAAAAGAGGTGCAAGAGAAAACACAAGAAGCAGACAACAAGGTAAAGAGAAGATACCTGCCACAAATCTGACTGAACTGTAGTAATCTTGTGCCTCCGGGGGATATTTATTCCGGGCTGGCACAGTCACAGGAGATTTGCAACGCCAAGCATTGATCTGGGTTTATAAAAGCAAGGGAAATTTGTCTAGCACACATCAAAGGGACCTGGAATTCCCTTTTGCCAAAACACCCTAATGGTTTCAACAGAAGTTCGGACCTGTCTCCCTTTGATATATGGTTGTATTTAGAATGGAAAAAGCAGTCCCACAGCCTGGAGACTGGAGACTTCCCGAGTGGGCACAAAACCCCTTTTCCAGGCCAGTGTTTATTTAAACAAACAAACAAACAAAAATGCATCTCCTACTGATCCGTTAATGTACAGGGAGCCCTAGAGAACCTAAGGCAAAGTGGCATTATAGTCCTCATTTCCAGAGGATGTGTTCTCCGGGGGCTTTTTACTCTAGCTTTGTTGATTTCCAAATTGGCTGCACTATTTTAACAAAGAACGTCCCGACACTTCAGAGAGAAAATGACTCAAGTGCATCTGTACTTCAGGGAAGCTGCTTTATGGCATGTGGCTCCACAGCAGAAAAGTGAGGATATGGAAAACCTTTCCTTGTATTCACACATACTGACACAGCAGCCGATCCAGAGACACCCTATCCCATCTGCAACCCTCTTGTTTGCTTCAGGTCCTGCTTTTGGAGCAGAAGCAGAAAGTGGGCAATTCTCAACCATTAAATGAGACATCTGTTATGTTGGCAGAGCCGCACCTCAGCTAGCAAAGGAGTTCAGGGCCTGATTCATAGATGCCGAATGCCTAGAGCTCCCCGAGATTGTGGTTGGAGTCACAGATGCTCAGTACTTCAGGGAATCAATCCTTAGCTTTTATAGATCAGGGAGAAATGCAATCTTCTCCCAAATCCCAACACAGATGTGGTTTTTCACTCCAAGCTGGGTTGTTCCAGAGTAAGCGGAAGCCTCCTTTTCCCATAAGAAACATTATTATTATCTACAAACATGTATACTGTCCATCTCCATGGCTCCTGGGCATTTCAATTTCAGAGGTTAAAACACAAAATCAGAACAAAATAACTGGTGTTAATTAAATCCTAAACAAAATACAGGCCTCTTGCGTTGTTCCCTGCAGGACATTAGTTTCAGGCCCTGATGGAAGGCACATGGACATGAATTCCAATGAGGGAAGCTCTGCTCAGAAAACCCAGCTGCTGAGCATGGCGTGTTCTTGCTCAGGAACCAAAAACAAGCGATGCTCAGCTGATGCAAGAAGCAACTTCTCCAAATAAACAGGTCCCAAACCAAACAGGGTTTTAAAGGACATTATCTAAATATCTTGAACTGCACCCAAACCTGGAAGCTAATATAAAAGGCTGAGTCTAAGGTGTGAGTCCAACAAGGAGATTCACACTTCATGCATATGCGTTTTGTCTTAACTAATGCTTCTGAGAAAGTTCACAGGTAGCTGGCGGCCTGGATACACACCACCTTTACGCTGGTGTAACATGCCCTTAGAGCAGTGCAAGATAAGGAGCAGACAAACAATACATAGCCCTACACAACATGATGCACCCTGCAAATGACCCTGGGAAAAAATCAGAGGTAAAACTACACTGGTTTGTTACATAGGCCTAGGTTTCCATTTCTATCTTGGGGACAGGTGTTTGTTTAATGCAAATAGGCTATTTCTACCATTTATTGGAAAGGTACTGTAGTAGTCTACTGCAGCAGCCACACCAGGAAAGCTTGCTGTCAGCTGTATAATTTACATTGATGTTCAAAGCTGACAAAAGTTACATACAGGCCTGACATGCTGAGCTTACTAAAAAGTGAGCTTGCAATTCAAAGCAGCCTACTAGAAAAGGGACATTTTCCTGTCATTTGGAAGAGATCACTTGTCAGCCGGGCACTTATGCTGCATATATCTATCCATATGCTCTTTATTTTAATGTGACAGGATCATCTTCTGTTTTATAATAGGAAAATTAAGTCTTCATACTCTCAGTTCCCCTATAGTACTTCACCAGTGAACCCTACCCAGAGCCTTTACATGTGTCTCAAAGTCTTCTTTCAGTTCTCATCATGAACAAAAATACTGGCCCCTTACAGAGAAAAAAATATCTGCACATATGATGGTTGATTTCTCAACTTATTCCTTTTGTTTTGCAATGTGTTTGGTGAGGCTCTTTGTTTTCAAGGTCAGGGATACTCACCGTACTCTTTAAAGCTTATCTATCATCTGGCATAATCACTTTAATGAACACTAAAACACACTTGCTTCTGTAGCAGAACATTACAACAGTGTTTTTTTTTCCCCTGGAAGGGAGGTGAAGACTAACTACCTAAACTGAAAATGCAGGGGAAACGGAGATTGTCTAAGAGTAAATTTATCCAAGACATGGGTTAGCAGGCCTTCTTGCAAAAAGTACTGTGGGATTTCTGAAGGCTGCATGTTGCCAGGCCATCAGCCAAAAGATGACAGAGCCAACACAGCACAACCCTCCTTTTCTCCATGTGGGTACTTATTCTGTAGTTGCGGTGACTCAGTAAATGAAAGCACCTTCTGAATCACTTGCATCACTTCGGGCAAAGACCACACTGGACCTTGCAGGTCTCCCATGAAGCCAGGCACCAGACACTTGCCAGTTGGCTTGTATGATTTGACAAGACTGTACATCCTAAAACATTTCCAGTGAAGCTCTTGGCTTTTGTATTTGGTACACTAGCTCTCACTTTGGCCATTTTGTGCTATTCTGACTGGCACTTCCAGTAACTGCTGCTCTCAGCCCCATGCCTCGCACAGTAAGTGTTATGTAAGGAGGGATTAAAAAAAAAAAAAGAAAGAAAAATAATTCCTCAAAACATCAAGCACGGATTAAGCAAACTAGACCTTAACCAACACTATAAAAGATCTGCTTGTTGGGACTTTTAACAACTTGCGAGAATCTCTTCCCCACTATCCTAACCCCAGTGTGTTCTTTCTTCAAGAGGCAATTCACGTGTGCAGTTTCCTTTCCTTAAAAATGAACAGCTGTGTACTTCCCTCTAAATACTCTTCCACTGCTGCCCACTACTGTGCCTCTAATTGAACCCACATGAGCCATGCTTTCTTTTCCTGGCATGATTGATGATGCTTTTGCACAACATTAAGGAGCTGCTGGGTTTTAAATAACACCTCTCGACCACAGCAGCAGCGGCGGTGGCTTCAAGAAAAGATGACAACAAATAACCAAATGATTGGGGCTTTTGCTGAAGGAAAGAAAAAGGGTTGGGGAGGGGAGGAGAAAGGTAAGGAAAATAAAGGGGCAGGGGGCAAAGAAAGAAAAAAGGAGGGAGGTGAAGATGTAGAAAGAAAAGAAAGGCGAAATAAAGTGAATGATGGCTAGAAGAGGGCACCATGCTAGTGGCTAATTTAAAATGGTCCTGTATGTGTACTGATAATTTGTCCCATCATTAACCTACAGAGAGATGTTATTGATGTCATTAAGATACTGAGAGACAGACCAAAGGTATGTCTGTGCTTCTTTCCTGCTTGCTTCCTTTCCTTTAACTGAATGCAGCACTGATGTATGCGGGGTTCCCTCAATTTTCAGGGTTTGGGCATGGATGAAGAAGGGGAACACCTCATTGAGCAGCAGATACATGATCTTCATGTTCCTGCAATGCCTGAGCACTATGGCTCAGCACAACTGCAGAGATTGAATGGTTCAGCAACAGGTTAAATTTTTAACATACCTAAGGGATTTCCCTGGGGGACACACTCCTACATCATCTCAGGTGCCTATGAAAATCTTCCTGATATCTTTGCTCAGTTCTTCAAGTGTCTTTTCCTGAGATATCCAGAAATTCAGCTCTGGTGTTGAAGGTTAGAATGTATTCATTGGCTTGTTGACCATTTGCATGAGCACAGTGATCCTCACTGTCCCTTGGAAAGGCATCAACATCCTTTGAGACACTTGTCTCCTTTCCAAACACCAGCTTGAACAAAGCTGCCTTCCTTTCCCTTCCTTAGACCCCATTCAGGCTACCAGATGAATGCAAGGAAGATCTCCAGCTCCCCAAAATTGTTCAGCAAAGTTCTCAACCCAAAACAAAATGAACAAACAAAAAATACAACGGGATACAGACAACCTGCCACGTTTCATCTTATCTCCAAATGTAATCAGAAGAGAAACTGGAAGCTGGAAAGCAATTGTGAGATGATAAATAAAAGCACAACAGGAATCTAACCTGAGTATTCCAGAATTTCTGAGAAATTATTTCTTGGACAAACATTACACAAATTCTGGCATGGAGCTCCTCTTGACTCAATAAAATGAAGCCTGGTGGCCCTGAAAAGAAGTGGTCTATTGTCCGTCAACAAAGCACTTAAGCACAAGCACAACTTTTTAAGCACGTGCTTAATAACTTTGCTGAACAGGGATGGACTAAAGGATATACTTAATTCCTGACTGATTTATACTCAGAGGGCATAACTACATGTGCATATTAATGGACAGCAATAAACTCTGGCACATATTGCACTTGAGTTTATTGCTCCTGGGCGCCACGTTTACACATGCGCCTGGGACCGCAGGATGTTGAGCAGAGTCACAGCAGCCTCATCTGGCAGGAGGCCTGAAGGGTCAGCTTGCCAGCTAGGGACTACACCGACCTGGCTCAACAGGCTGTGGAGGGGCTGGCTGGGGCATGAGGGGGCTTTAGTGTGGGGCCAGCCAGCAGGCAGCGCCCACACTCAAGCACATTTGTGCCCCAACAAGCTAGGTCAGCATTTACACATTACAAGTACTACTGCAGAGTTTATTAGTTTCCTGCACCCTAATAAGGCCACATGTGTAGATGCCGAGATGTGGACATGCTCAGGATGTACAGAACATAATAAAAACTGAGCCTTCATCCTAGAACTTTTTGCATTCACTTTCTGGGGAGGGCAACGGATTGCAAAACCTGGGGCAATCAGAGTTGGGTTAAGAGTGTTTTGGTGGATCAGGAATATCCTCAGCTAGTGGCATTAACATTCTGAAGTCCTGTTATATGAATCAGACCCAGCCTTCAATGCTCTGGGTGAAAAAAAAGAGGCTCTGAAACCGAGGTTCTCATATCAAAAACATATAGTAATAATTGGCATAAATCTCCCCCATAGGGGACTTTTCATATTTAAATGATATGGGGCTGGTGAAATGCCTTTGGGTTTTTTTATTTGGTTTGTGGATTCCTGTGCGCTCAATGCAAAGATTTCTTCCAACTATTTCCTTGTTCAATCATTCAGGCTTGTTTGAGAATTTGTTTTCTGTTCTGCAAAAATGCTCAGCTGGAGCTAGGGTTCTGGTGCTGATGCCAATTAGGATGGAAGAGGCCCAGCTTGTGGGGTCCTGTATTTGTTTTGTAATTGAGTTGAAAGGGCTGACTCATTCCCCTCCACTCTGTCTCCCCCTCGATGATCTTCTGAAGAGCACAGTATTTTACAAATACAGACAAGCTGCTGAGTGTGACTGTGGCCTTATACATTCTCTTCTTTACACACACACTATACATTCTCTTCCTTACACACGTGCACACACACACACACACACAGACACCCCCTCCCCCCTCGTTGCTTCTACCACACAAAAATAGATCCAGATGGGAATTACTGTGTTCATGCCTCACATACGTGATCCAACTAATATTACATAAACACATCACAGAGGAGAACAAAACTAAGAAGCAACCTAAAACTTTGCTCTAAACTCGAAGTGAATGCAGGGATGTGTTGGAGGTAGGACTCACAGATCCCCTACTCCACGATTACCATTCCCCAAAACAAACAGAAAGCTGAAGCGACTTCTATGGTCCTAAAAAAGTTCACTCCCCTCTGGAAACCAATCTCATTTAGCCTGGGATGATTTATCCCCAGAGCTCAGAAAAATTCTTGTGCAGAACAAACAGTTTGTCTTTGGAATGCACCAGACTGCACGAAGTGTCAGGTATTTGGGAAATGGGGATGGGAGGACAGGGGAATGGGAAGAAGGAGTCCAAGGACAGTCCTCCAGTTTCCCACTAAAAGGTTTTCACAGACACCCATCACTTCCAATCTCACATGTGAACTACCTTGCTGTCAATGCACTCAATATGCTGCACTCAGAGACCAAGTACAAACTTTACCCAAACAAAATGAGTGTAAACTTGCCAAGAGGCATTACCTCCCCTTCTTAGTTTTGTTTAAATGAGAAAACAAATTGACATATATTTCCCAGTTGCTCACCCTTTCTGCTCGCACGTGCACCTGTGGTACTAGAGTCTTAGGGCATCATTAAAAGAAATCAATACATCATGCTCTAAAATGCTTCTTAATTAAATCTGAAAAAGTCTGGATTTATTCTTTCTTTAAATCTCATCCATCTTTGTGCATCTCTGCACTGTTAGGGTCTGCCTGGAAGTGGATAGTTGGAAATACTGCAAAGGAAGCAAGGCTTGTGATGCTTCGGGTCCAGCCAAAGGAATCTCAGCTGAAAGCCGATCCTCATGAAATTTCCAGGCCAGTTTTCCAGTCCCAATAAGATCAGATAAGTTCTGAGTAGCCACCAAAATGTTTGGGTGCTTTTCCAGACTCCAGAAAAAAAAAAAAAAAAGAACTATGCCAATTAGAACATTTCTTTTTTAATGAGGTTAGAATATTAGAACATGGTTTTATAATGTTTCCTTCTTACTCGGATAGGAATGCACACACACATGCACACGTGCGTGTGTGCATGCATGCACATGTGCGAGTGCATGTGCACACACACACACTGAGTTAAAATTGTCTGTTGAGAATGAGCATTGCTCAAGAACAGGCCTGGAAGTAAGGAGACCTGGACCCTATTTTCAGCCCTGTCAATAATCATCTATTGATCTTGGGTCAAGTGAGGTTTCTGTGACTCAGTTTCTCCATCTACACCGGGGGTGGGCAAAATGGCAGATCTGGCCAGTCGGCCAGACTTCATTTCCCAGCAGCCCCTGCTCACATCACTGCAGCCGGTTCCATGGAGATCCCAGGGGTGGTGGGGCCATGACAGTGTGGGCCCAGGGGTCCCATCGAGACTGACCTCTGCAGCACTGGCAGGGTGCACAGCTGGACAGGGGACTGCTCTGGGGCCGGGGCTGGGATCTTGCAGTGGTGACAGCATGGTTTGGAGCTGGAGCAGAACTGTGATCCACCGCCTGCCCACCCCTGCCTGGGGCACGTGGCAGCAGATGGTGGCTCTGCCCTGCCTCTGGACCACGCTGTCACCGCTGCAAGAACCGAGCCCTGGAGCAGCTTCCTGCCCTGCCAGCGCTGCTGGGGCTGGTCTCCCTGGAAACCCTGGCCTCATGTTGTCTCCTGCGGTCTGCATGCAAACTAGCCGCAGCAACTGGGCAGGGGCTGCTGGGAAATGGAGTCCACCATGAATCCAGTGTGGCCCACGGGCCAAACTTTTTGCCTGTCCCTGATCTACACAGTTAAGGCAATAATACTACCTCCCTCCCTTGAGTGTTGTCCATCCTAATAAAGCTAGAAGACTAGGAATATGCATATGAAAAGCTTGCTGTAATAAGACCCAACTGTCTATCACCTGAGTGATAAAGGGACCCCCAAAGCCTTGGAGTGTCTTTTTTACAAGCACCAACCGGTTACTATCCTTCTGCGTGACTACACACCAAATTTGGGGGTCTGGACATTGAGCTGGAAATGTCAAAAAAGCAGGGTGCCTCAAGAGATTGCTATTATATCATGCTCCTGATCAGATAAGAAAAAGCATTTTGGTAACTGATTTTTTTTTAAGTGTCCTGGCATTTCTGATGCTGAGCCTGGAAAGGACCATGAGGTATAGAAACACCTGGCAAAATTAAATTTTATGCATACACACACACACATATTTAAATGATTGGCGATTTGGGGCAAATGTGCAGATCATTTCTTATCCTATGCAGACTCATTGGCCCAAACTTGATCACAACAAACAAACCTGGCTCTTGATGAGGTCATCATCTCTGTGCACTTGCAGGATGTAGCCTGTCTTGCAACTAACGTTGCACTGGGCACCGTTGTACCACCCACCGCTGGTGCAGTTCAGCATGGCATTCTCAATCTCCAGCTCTTGGCAGTCAGTGGCTTCGCAAGAGTAGTGGACACAGCTAGGAAGGAAACAAGAAATAGCATGTGTAGTTCATTTTGCAGAAGAATGGCTGTTAGACCAACGAATCCTTCTTTTATAAGGCAGCAGATAAAAGTTACTGAATGCATTCGGTAGCAGAATCAATCCAGGTCAAACAGCAGGCACCTTTGCTACATTTGCTGCTGAATGAGGAATGCGTGCTGGTAATGACAACCTTGCCAAAAAATAGATCTCTGAGCCTGTGAATCTAGTACTGAGGAAAAGGGTAGATGATCATTCCTTGTGAATGATTTTCATTTGTAGAGTGCCAGCAAAACAGAAACAACATGACAGTGGAACTGTAACCTTCCCACTCTGTCCTCTGCTTCAGTGCCTAAATCATGTCTTCGGAAAAAAAAATCCCATCTCACTGGGTTAGTGAGGCAGTTCATGTCCCAGTCTTTTGGCTCTACTGAAATTAAGTGTCAGCCAGCATCAGTGATGCTGGGGGCTTTCTGAGCTGTAGATACTTATCTATTAGGAACCTGACTGAGACAGACTCACTCACTGGGGCGAGTGGTTCAGTAATGTGCTGTCCATCAGCTCTCTCCAACTGCTGTCCACAAAGTTCCTACTGCCCCCAAAGTTTTTCAACAGATAGGACCTCTCCATTTTCCCTTCATAAAATGGCATTGAGATTAACAAACAAAACAAAACAAAAGAAACAACCCCCCACCCCCAAAGAAAACCCATTTTAAAATTTTATTTCTAATTATGCATGAAGTTTGTATGGGGCAAAATCTCTCGTCTATGATCACTTTAACCCAGGTGAATATTTTAGCATGCATTCAATATTAGGCATGTAAGTAAATTGCCTGACTTCAATGGGAGCGCTCACATGCTTAAAGCTATTCGTGTACCTAAGTGTTTTGCTGTCATAGAGGCTTACAATTCTAGGAGTCGATATCCCTACACTGGGACTGCATCTATATGTGCGCTTAACTGCGGAGTAGACTAAGTAGCTCCAGAGTAAAGCATCACCGTCTACACATGTGACACTATTAGGCCACAGAAAATAATTAACACTGCTGTGGGATAGTACTATTGGGGGCAGTACTATCTTACAGTGGGGTAATTAACTGCAATTAAACACACATGTAGATGCTGACTGTGGGCATAAATTGTGCCCAGTCAGCTCAGCCAACAAGGGGCCACACTCCTGCTTGCTACCTAGTCACATGGCTCTGTACTTTCAGCGCCCTCATGGCCCAGCCAGCCCCTCCGACACCTGCCACCAACCCCCAAAGCAGGGCAGGAGCATGCCCGGTGTAAATGTCTCCACCTCAACTCAAATTGCTGCTGGCCTGGGTGCACGTGTAGACGCTGTGCTTGGGAGTAGTTTATTCTGGCCCAAACTGCTCCAGAGTTTATTGCTTTGAATCAATTGCACATGTAGCTGCACCCTGGGATACTGACATGTACTGAAATCAATAGGAATTAAGCAGATCCTCGAGAAGAGGAGCTGAGCCTCATTTCATCATCTGCAAGGGCAAAGAAGAAGTGGAACTGGTGGGTATGCACAGTGAAAAATATTAAAGAAATGAACATCTATACCATGAAACTGGTTAAGATCTAAATGTCTCCCTCTTCCAGGAAAAGGGCTAACAACCACTAAAATCCTACCCAGTTCGTTAATCACGATACTTGGTGTGTATATAGAGTTGTTTTATACAATCAAAAAACTTTACATTAATTAATTGATTAATCCTCATGGCAACCCTGTAAGGTAGCTGCGGCAGTGTTATTACCTCCTTGTTAGAGATTGGAAAGTGAAGGAGGGGTTAGGGAGGGACGTAGTGACTTGGCCAAAGCCACACAAAAAGTGAGAAGTAGAATGAGAGATGGGGATCTCTGGATCTTCACATCAGATTAGGTTATAGTGGTATGAATCTGCAACTACTCATTTCTCTTTCAACAAGAAATGACCCCATATGGAGGTGATCAACTTGTAATATCCAACTTCCTTTGTCTCTTGGAAGCCTTTCACTGGGGTGAGATGAGCTGGGAATATCTTCCCCATTCAGACAGCCATCTCTGGGCCAGATTCGCACCACCCACTGAAGGGGTTTAGGAGCTACACTAGGCACAGCCCAGTGAGGTAGGGGGAGCAGCATGTAGCAGCTGCTAGTGAGAAGATGCTTCCAGAATTTCCACTTCTCACTTACAGCCAACTGGTCATACCCTTACAGTGTGCAGCATCTTAATGGACTAGTGAAACTGGTGGTCCCCATACTCTGTTTTTGCAACACTCCCTTGAACAGCCCCAGATGGAGTCATGCCCTTACTCAAAGTGAGCAAGGCTTTATAGTCCTGCTGATTTCAATGCAATTCCTTTTCAAATGAGGCAATACTTAACATTAGGGTGTCCGACTCTGACCATTAGAACGGCATGACTATTAAATATGTCGTCTTGCCAAACCTCACTACAAATTCCTGTTACACCTACACTTTAAGGCTAATCATTATTTTGTTCCCTTCTGTTTTCAGAAAGTAGCGTTTTATACGTGAATTCCTTCTGCCTCACTGCTTCGCTGACAAGTAAGTTAAGCTGGTGAGGAATAGAGAAAACACCACTGATAATTCTGTACTCAGAAGGCTATGTTGTGAACTCTGCTCCATGGCATGTCTTGTGTGAAGAACTAAATCACTTTGCACAAATGTCAGATAAATAAAATAACACTCACCCTACAAAATAGCTGGTGTGCACCAATGTAGAGCATGTTAATATTATGCTGAATTCCAATCTTGAAGGGTATCGTAAGAATGAATAAATCTAGAAAAATTTAGGACCAAATTCTTCTGTCTCTTACATCTGTGAAAACCTAGAACAACTTCATTGAAATCAGTGGTTCTACTCTTAATATTTATTGGGGGAAACACAAACAAGAATCTGGCCTGTAGGGTTCACATCAGGACACAAGAGGAACAAGCTTAGCCTTAAAAGCCACACAGAACTGAAACACCAAAAACAAAAGCACGAAGTAACTCTTATTGTGATGTTCCTCTTGCTGTTTACAAGTCCCCTTGTGGTCTTAGTAAATGGCCAGGGAACATTTTTAGCCACCCCCTCCAGGCACCAGATTATGCCTTGGTTAGCAGGATCATCTGAGGAGCTCTCTCTGTCTGTAACTCTATATGAATGACTTCAGTAACAAACAATACGACCATTCACTTTTTGTAAAGCAACCACCACCACCCCAAATGTTTCCAATTTAAATATTTCTGGTTCTCTAGCTACTGGTTCCAATTTGGTATCAGCTACTGTCAGACATAAATCTTAATGAATTTTAGAGTAATGATTCTGAAGCAAGTTCTGCAAATGCAGAATTAAATAGGATAAGATAAACATATCTCAGGGAAAGGCAGAACTCACTGTGGCCATATACCTAAAATTGTGGGCTACACAAAACCTTCCTCAAGTAGTGTCATATACTGATGGTTAGACATCACTTGTTCAGGAAACCAGACAGTCCTCAGCAGCAAAGGAGTGAGGAATCCAAGAATAATATAATTTTAACCTTAGCTCACCTTCTTCAGTGCAGACAAATCAGTTTTCTCTTTATGGCATAATGACACTTTGCACTATTCAATCCTGGCTCACAAAGGAGATTTAAAAGAAGCGCCTCAATTTTGTATATGGGAAAGCCAAGGTACGGAGAGATTAAGATTCAAGTTTTCAAAAGGGATTTCTAACCCTAGGGGTACAGCCTAAACAGAGATAGCTTGGTCCTGATTTTTAGAGGTGCTTAGCTCTTGCAGTATCAGGAAGGGTCAAAAAAAACTGCAGGTGCACTGAAGTTCTGAAAATCATGAACAAAAAAGGGCATCTAAAATGAGAGGTCCCTTTTTAAATGTTTCGTTTTAGTGACTTGCTCAAGGCAATACAAGCAGCCCATGGCAGACATGGGAAGATAAGGAAGACCCACTGACACCTATTCTAGTGCCTTGTGCACCGGGCCACACTGACTGGCTGAACAAAAGGCACAGTCAGAAAAACGATACAGGCAATTTCTTCTTCCCTGCAACTGATGCTATTTTTTTCAGAGCATTTTTCTCTGTCATGACTAATATTCTGAAAGACTCTAGCTTCTATTAAGCAAAAATGAACATGAGCTTGCTTAGTCAACTCATCCACTTAAACAAAAAGACAAACACAGCTAAAAACCACCACATTTCACAGTTTCCTTTAAGAACCAAATCTCAGCCCCAGTTTCCTTGAACTTGAGAAAAGACTTGCCCAGATTTATTTGAAAGTTGGCACAAGCTAGCTCCATGTTGGATGCAAATATGGGCACATATCATTTGGATCCAAGTTTGCACCCATTTCTACTCAAAACTTTTTTCCAGTTTCCTCAAAACATTCTCAGACCTTAATAATCCAAGACCAATTTCAGGATGGTAGTAAGTCCTGCAAACAGGTGACCTTTGCTTGGTTCTAGCTTTGCTGACAATATTTGGCATTATATGATTATTTGGCAATATTTGATTCCTGCTTACTAGCTGGATATCCTGATAATCTTATAAGATGTCCAATATGTCTTAGTTTCAGTCAAGATGGAAATAACACTGCAGTGACAGCTTTTGTCACAGTACTGTCATCAGTTGAAACCAGGACTGCCACCAGCTGAAACCGGAAATCAGAGATAGGTGAGTCTATTAAAAATGCATATTTAGCCAAATATTTTTGACTTAAAAGGCAAAACCAAATTTAAAAACAAGCGTGCATGTGCACACATGTGCATCAAGTTCAGTTCAGGTTCAGGCTGAAGCTCTGCATCAGTTCTTATTCATCTGAACTCTTTCACCCATCCCTGCTCTGAATGTGCTCCACAGAACATCTCCAAATCCTCATTTTCTTCTACTAATACTGACCCTGATTCAGAAATTCATTCAAACACATGCTTAGCTTCAAACACTTGCATAAACCCTGTTGAAGTATGTGACTTCAGGGGATTTAAGCACATGGCTAAATGCTTTGCT